ATCCTTTCACAAATGGAAGGCCTGTAACCCATTGTGAAAAGGTTTATAAGTTCTAGATATGAGCTGAAACTTTCTCAAAAATTAAACAAAATTTGACCTTTGAATAAAATTTACCTTCTTACATCACTTTGAATTGATCTTATCATATTTGGAGGCTTTAAAATCAAGAGTTCTACATATTATCGAAGAATTTTGGACGAGCTATTCACATTTATAAATTGGTACACCTCAAGGCTAAAAATAATGGACACGCCTAGTTTGTAATATCAAATTGTACAATACGGTCCTATTTTTCTTTATCGTAAAACTATTCACCATGGTTCCATTATCTTTAAAAAAATAATAAATAATAAATAAATTTTGTCTTTATAGTACAAGTTTACCCAAAACCTAATAATTGATTACATTGATGACTTGCTAGTAATCATAGTGTTCATTGTAAATGGAATTTAGTCCTAGTTTCACGTTTTAGTTCAGGTACTATTTTGCCATTTTTGGATCTTATTATTTTTCTTTCACATTTTCCAAGTTTAGTTAGCAGTTAATAATTCTTGAGGGATTATGCAACCAATTTCAAAAGTCGTTTGCTGACTTTTTACTTTTTAGCAACTTGTTTAACATGCAAATTGCAATCGTGATTGGAAGCCTACTGAACCTACAAAAAAGCAAAAATTAAAGGCTAAGCCATCATTTGATAGCAATTTTTCACTTAAAAAAAAAAATTTAATTTTTTGATCGTTAGTTCATTATTTCAGCCATCATTTTTGACTTCATCACTCATAAGTGGGGCTCACTATTCTCTTTTACGGTTAAAAAATTAATTCTCATAATACTATCGAACCGGCTCTAATTAAGAAAACATCACAATCTGCCAAATGGTACAATAAATTTGAGGTTTGACTTGTGCCAATTTGAATGGACCAAGTTATACCACTTGCGAGAATATTATAAATAAATACTTGAGACTTATGAAATAAGATTTTAATTTTTTTAAATTATTGACCAATATTACAAAAAAATGCGACTGCGAGTTGGATTGTACAATATTTGAAAATTTTTAAAATCATTAATGAATTAAGGGCTTAAGATTTATTTTGGTTCACTAAAATAAAATAGAAATTATGTTTCTAATTGTGGAGATTAAATTTTTTTTCAATAATGAAAATTTCATTTTTAATGTTATGCACTTGTTCTAGACATAAATTGGAAAGTAATTATAAATTAATTATCTTTTTCATTTTTTTATAATTATTAAATTTAATTTAGGAAACTGTAAACAGAAAGTTTTTGTGTCATTTCATAATTTTTAAAAAATATATATATTACAATTTTACAAAATATTTATGTTTTTAATGATGAAATCACAATATATTTCTTTTGAGAGTAAAATTATAATATAATCACTAGTTAATTTTTTCAGTTAAGATATCTTCCTTATAAATGCATGTTTAGCATAGTTTATATTATAATTTAAATTCATCAAAATTATTACTAGTTTTGTCACTCATATTGTTGAATATGTGACCATTTTTGAGGGCTTAGTCTTTGCTCTTACTCATGAACTCGCTATTGCTATAATCGAATCAGGGTGCTACAATGTTTTACAACCGGCAAATAAGTAGAATTTCATATACATTTAACACTTTTCTTTAGTATGCTCTCTTACTCATGCCCTCTCAAGACCTGAAGAACGCTTCTTTATATTCTCATGACATTGACACGGTCGAATTTGGGGGATCCCCGAGTAACATTGTGGAACTTAAAATTCATGATTTAAGTGTTCAGTTTTTTTTTTTTTTTTTTTTTTTTTTTCTATTTACACTTTTTTATTTTAAAAATTAAACTCAACGAGCTCATCTCAATAGTCATCTCGACCCATCGATCTAAAATCGATCATGGTCTATTATCTCTGTCTTGTGCTTTAAAATATCTTCCTCATAGAAATAAGGGAAAATTGTACTTGGGGTCCCAATTCTTTTTATTATTGCAAATTATTTTCAAACATTTCATTTTGATTGCAATTGGAGAACATATAGACGAAATCCATTCATTTGACATTTAGTCAACCTAAAAAATAAAAATTGCTACATTTGACCAAATTTAAAAGTGCAAAATTGTAAATTCATATTTTTCTATTAAAATAATTAAAAAATAAAAATAAAATGTCCCCCCAACACCCAAACAACCCAAAATCCCACCACCATCATCAGCAAAATTGATTTGCTCCTCTGCCAACACCAATTGAAGACCAGTTTACTCCAAATTCGAATAAAATTAGAACAGCATCAGGTCCAAAAAATCTTGAATCAACTCAAAAAAGATTAGTTCCTATTAAAATAGACAGCACGCCATGTGATAATGACTAGGAAATTATCATATGCAATCTATGCAATTGCTGGTAAGGCCATATCTGCAAAGGATGTGGTGGCATCAGACTCCAGATACCGTGGCCATGAGGAATTTTAATTTGGTCAAAATGTGGCCAAATTGATTTTTTTTTGGTATAATTTGCAAATGTTTTAAAGGTTCAGGATCTCGACTACAATTTTCCCTACAAATAATGAAACATGTTTGATGAGTATTGCTTTGCCTTTAAAACAAATAAAATTAAATTAAATTACCAATTTCACTTGTTTTATGTTGCATTGGATTCTGGCAGCTGGCTCACATCATCTATGATTTGAAGCCAACTCTACCTTAGGAAATAAAAGAGGGGACCTCAAACCGACGTCGCCTGTGGATTTCATAATATTCACTTATTTCACCTCATGTCATTTCTCAGATTAATTATATTAAATTGTCAATGATTTTTAACTTTTATTCATTATCGTATTTAAATTGTGATATTCAGCGTAATTTTTTTATTTTTAATTAATCAAATATTTTAGTTCATTGATTATAATTTTTAATTTAATAATGTAATTTATAATTAAATAATTTCTGAAAAAATTAATTATTGAGAGAAAAAAAAAAGAAAATAAAGGAAATACTATTCATTTATTTTTATATTTGGTTTAATGGTTGAAAATGACTTTACAAGTTGGTTTGAAAGTTACACCAATTTGATGCAAACAATTAAAGATGACCTTAGGCTTAACATACTTTCTAGACTAAAAAATATCTTATCTTATTTGAAATAAGTTTGGCGGTGAGCAAATAATTGAGACTATTTGTTGAAAGTAATCATTAAATGGGAAAAGTTCTTCTGTGGGCTCTGTGTGAATGTTTTTGAGAAATACGAAAGCGATAGTAATATTAAAAAATCTCCTTATTATTTTATTTACATAGATGTGTCCGCAAGTGAAGTAAGGTAATGAATAAAATCCCCTTAATGTCGAAATAAGGTTCAAGCATGTCAGTGACAAGATTAGAAATTAATAAAACAAAATATTTTATTGTAATTTCATAAATAATAATTCTATAAAATTAATCTAAGAGCACAAACAAAGTAGTATAAAAATTTTCCTAATGCTTGTTTGGTACAGATTTTAAACCAATTAAAATCAATTTTTTGACCATTATTTCAGTCGTTATTTTTGAATTTTTTTCTCACAATAGGATTTACTTTATATCTAATCAGTCAAAAAATCATTTATTAAAATTCCTACTAAACAAGCACATAATTTTTAAAGCAACAAATTATTTTTAAATACATACGCAGACAGTTTTGGAGCAATTTCAGCCCTTGTTTGAACCCCATTATTTGATAAAAAATAATTTTGAAATAGTAATTTTTTAAATAATGCGTGATTAAAAAATATGAAAAAGTTCGACATTACATATGAAATTATTTTATTAAGAGAATATATGATTAAAAATAAATTTGAAACAAATATATTGTTAAAAAATGGACTCAAACGGGCTTCTATCTTCTTGAAAATCACAAAGACGACGTCAACATTGCATAATTAATTAAAGGACATTTCAGAGTGCAATCAACCCATCCATATATAAGATAATTACGTGGCTCCAGCTGTAAAGAGTTGTTCCACAGCTTCAACCTATTATCCTCCCTGTATCCTCGAACCTCCATAGGTCAAACATTTCTCTATTCCTTCCCTCGATAGTATCATTTTGATTGATAAATTGTAACTTTATTTTTTTTTTCAACTAAATCCTATTTTTTTACCATAAAAATAAAAAATATGATTGTTATTCATCACATCAAATCACAATATTTGAGTTTTATCTCTTGTGTGGGTCAAATAACGACTATTTATTTCATTTTCATTTTTAGAAAAATGAAAATCAAATGGGAGCTAAAAAAAATGGATTATAATCCAATTTAAAATTAACACTTAATTTTAATCACACAATTCAAAAGGCTTACAATTTTTAACTACAAAATTCATCAACTTTTATCAAAATTTAATAAAATGTAATTATTTTCTAAACCAAACAGGGACTTATATTCATTATTATTAAGTTATCTAACATCACTAGTCTAGGAGTTATATAAATTTGGTATGTTTAGCAATGATATATTAAGTACTGATAAGTTAAGTATCAATGACACGACGTATTAATTTATTGGTAAATTAATAAACTAGTATGTCATGTCATCGATACTTACTAAATTATTTCTCTAATGTAATTGTTCATTTAGAGTATGTTCGGTGGTGATTATGAGAATTAATTTTTTTTTTATCTTTAAAGAGAAAAATGGGTCCCATTTATGAGTGAAGAAATAAAGAAAGACAACTGAAATAGTAAAATAATAGTTAAAAAAATTGATTTTCTAAGGTAAAAAATTGCTACAAAACGGGGCTTAATTTGTTGAATTATGCCATTTATATATTAATTTTTTTACACTATCGTTGACATTTACATTGTTGTCAACAATTAATTGGATAAAAAAAATTGTTTTTTAACTGTTCAATTAAATAATGTAACTTAATCGTTCGACATTGACATTGAGATAACAATATTACTAGAATATATACTAAATTAGTTGTTCCATGTGAATATAATCATAATGTCAAAACGCTGGAACAGTAGCATGCGAAGCAAAGGATGTAGTATTCGGATCAACTTGAATAGGGGCAAAACTGTAAACAAACCATAAATAAACGCCAATTTGAGCCAACCAGCAATTCTAATTAGTTAACTAATGATCCGTCATTCGACTCATTACAATATTTACAAAATGAATTTTCGACCTGCATTTCCCAAAATCCCCCTATTCAGGTATTGCACTCAGCCCCGCCGCAAATTTCCCTCTCCTCTTATTACCACCACTACCACTCCTCCTCATACTACTTTCAGTAGCACCACCGTTCGCCGGCGGTTTCAGTTGATTCTCTGTGGGAAACACCAAGACTTGCCGCCGGCAACCGCATTTGTCGCTGTAACCACTCTTGGCCAACGCGGAGCTGGCCTTCACGGCCAATGCCCCCATTTCCTCTGCCTGAAGCCGGTGCTTCAATCGGCTTAGAGGCAAAGCAAAGTAAAGCTGACCCGGCTGCAATTCCTCGTCGTCACTCACCGCTGAAACCACTTCGTTGAAATCCATTTCATCGGAATTACATATGAAATACGTAGGGTTCTTCTGTAATACATAAGAAACCTTTACAGGATATGGATATTCCTGTAATTTTCCGTCGTATAATATCAGTTTTGCTGTGGCTACAGAGGTAGCTTCACAGGAACTGCATATACCCATTATTTTAAACTCCTTCTGTGTATGAAAAGTGAATATGGAAGGAAGTGGAGAAAGCTATCTATATATATACACACACACATTGAAGGAGTGGTGTATTATTGTCGCGTCTGAACTTAAACAAAATTCAACAGTAAAAAGTAAAAAACTTTTAAATGCAGCCTATCAAGTATCAATAAAAAGAATTTTATTGTTTAAATTTAATTTTTAACACGAATTATTTAATACAATTAATTTACTAATCAGCAAAGTCAATACTGATATAAATTTATATAAAAAAATAAAAAAATCTAATAAGTAAACAAAATTTTCGTTTTGAGAGTGTAAACATTTCGATTTTCAGGTGAAGAAGCTATTAATGAAGTCGTTTAAATTATTCTAAAAATTCAGAATTTACAAATAAGTTCTTGATTTTATGGCATTTTATATCATTAAAGAAGTTATTCCAAAAATATTTTTTGTTGGTTCAAGTAAATCAAAATAATAAAGAATTGATAAGAATTAGCCAGCTATTTTTCAAAACTATTTTTTATATACTCATTTTCAATCACACATTCATATAATAAAATATTTTTGCATGTATATTTAAAAATTTTCTATTTTTTGATCATGCATTTTACAAAAATTCACTATTTAAAAAATTATTTTTTTAGAAATAATGTTTTTGGAATTTGGATAGAGGAGCTGGATGAGAGTGAAGGTTGCCAACCTGTAAGTGGTGTGGTGGATTACAGCCAGGTTGTAATTAAGGGAGTACGTTGTAATTTTGGGACATGGGAATTGTGGGACCTTTCTTTGAGTTAT